AGGTGTGCGCCACCATGCCGCTTCTGTCTTGTAGGTCTAAATTCCAACTGATGAGTTCAATCCCCAGTACCGGGGAGAAAAAAAAAAAAAAAAAAAAGAAAAAAAAAAAAAAAAAAAAAAGTACCAGGTTCTGTTTAGCTGGGTGTGGTGGCGCACACCTATAATGCCAGCACTTTGGAGGCTGAGTCAGGAGGATCCTTGCGAGCTCACGACCACCCTGGGCTACAACATAAGTTCAAGTCAAGCCTGAGTTGCATAGTGAGATCCTGTCTCAAGGAGGCAAAAAAAAAAAAAAAAAAAAAAAAAAAATCATCCAACTGACCTCCCTGGAGCCCCACCCTGCCCTCGGAAACTGAGGAATTGCTTGAAGCTGTTCTGACGCTGGTCACATCCTCCTATGTCTACACTACTCCAGGACTTAGCACATTCAGAAGACACGGAATATGGGAAAGACGGAACCGGAGGGAAGGCAGACCCAACGAGATCTGCAGCCCCTCCCAGGCTTTGGATCCTGTGGATGACACGCTGCCCCCACCCACAGGGAGGTTGGTCCTCTGGAAAGAGCGTGCCTTCTCCCGGGCACCCCAGGGAGGGAGAGGCCAAGTCTGCAGCTTCTGGGATTCTGATCTGCTGGTGACAGTAGCCTTGGACTTTGTGGGAGGCCATAGCACTCCCTTCTCCTTTGACCCCTGCCTTCTGGATGAGGCGCTCAGAGCTCTGAGCCAGGGCTGAACCTCCCGGTCTCAGTTCAGGCTCACCCTTGTCCTCCAGGCAAGAGTCAGGGCGGCTGTGGCGATAAAGACACCTCCTGCCACCCCCACCCCCAACAGCGTAGCTCTGATTGCTGGAGCAGGGTTGCTCCTGCTGGAGCCAGAAGGACCGCACGGCAGGATGTCATCGGTCACATAGATTCGGTGTTCATGTTTGCATCTGCCCCATTGACTGGATCAAAGGAGGCCACTTATTTTGGTGAAAAGGAAATGTGACTTATTCAAGGCTGGCTCTGAGGAGATGGAGGGGCCCATTTGCCTCAATCACCACCTCCCCACTTCCAGGTTAGTGAGGGGTTATAGTGAGGAGCAGGAGGGAGGGGGAGGAGAGCTAATGCAGGTCTCCTTTCAGGCTAGGGAGAGGAAGTGCTGGTTATATAAACAGCAGGAGGAAGTCTGGAGAAGTTGTTTAGCTCTAGAAGAAATTTTTTTTAATTAATTAATTAATTAATTAATTTTTATTTCTCTTTTTTTTTTTCCTGTGGGCTTTTTTTTGGGGGGGGTATTTTTTTTAGTACAGGGCCTACAGGGTCTCACTATGTAGATCGGACTCGTGGTGATCCACCTGTGTTCAGTCTCCCAAGTGCTGGGATTACAGGTGAGCTCCCAGTCTCAGTCGCCATCTCAGTGTACCCTGATGATCTGTGACTTTGCACCTGAGTGAAGTCTATTTGCTAGGCTTCAAAGGAGGGCACTCTAAAATGGATTACACTGAATTTTAGGATAATTTTTAGCCCATAAAAGGCATCCTTGTGTAATCCTCTGACTAATCCTTTTAGGGTGTGGCTCTTGTAGACAAGGCAGGATTAAACCTGCTCGGTATGTCCTGACCACATGTGTCCCTTTGATTGCATGTTTTAAAATTGGGCACTGGGGCTTCAGGGATTAAGATCACCAACAAGTTTGAGTCCACCTTAGTGAAACCCCATTCATCCTTGCCTCAAGCATGTAATGAAGCTCGGACTGGGCTGGGGAGATAGCTCAGCGGCATAAGTGCCTGCCTGGCAAGCACAAGGTCCCGAGTTCAATCCCCAGTAACACACACACACACACACACACACACACACACACACACACACACACAAAACCCCAAAACCAAAACCGAAACAAAACATCCCCAAAAAACAAAAAAACGTGAAGCTTAGACTGAGAGAGGCCCAGGTCAGGTATCAAAGCTCCGCCAAGCTATCTCTCTAGCAGCTTTTCTGCAGCTCTGTCACCCTTCTGACTCCCTCCTTTTTGCCTCATGGGACTTTGCCTTTTGGTGCCCTGGGCAGTGTGTCACAGCCACCTGAGTTGGGAGGGCGACCACTCTGAGCCGAGCCAGTAGTTCCATTGGATATTTGATGTCCTTGTTTCCCGAAGGACATACAGGCGTACTTGGAGTCAGTATAGAAGCTTACTAATTTCCTTGTGACCTTGGAAGACCCAAGTGAGTGCAGCCGGCTGACTTTTGTGCGGTGGGCGGGGCC